GACTAATTAGGTGTAAGAACAATACAAAATCAGAGTTAGAATCATACCTTGAGACACTTGTTTGATCTTCTTGTTCTTGGAGCTTTAGAGTCACAATTATCACTCCTGTAATGGCTTACAAACACCAACTAGCAAAGAGGATGATTTGAGAGAGAGGAGAGAGGATGGAATTTGGCCAGGGTATCCTTACTTTAGAGGAGTTCCCGAATTCCCTTTGCCATAGGGTCTATTTATACTTGTAGACTCCTTAAGGGTTACAACTCAAACCCTAGTTAGATAATTATTACTTAAAGCAATCCAAATCCATTCCTTAGATAATGCCTTGGATGATTTGAAGCTATCCATAGCTTCTAGAATCCGTCCATTGTCTATCCAATATGGATTTACAGTCTAAAGGTTAACTATCAAACAATTGATAGTTTATACCCTCTTATTTAATTAATCTCTTTAAGTCACCAAATTAATACTAATTAATCTATGACTTATATTAATCAAATAACTATATTATTATTCCTTATATTATTCTCATACTATATTAATAATATCTATTCTCTCATAATAAATCATCATACCAAGTTGCTATGGTGAAGGCAACCCAAAAGGACCATGCACAATCGGGTCAAATACTTGCCTAATATAGTTGCAGCCTTAGACACTATTCCAACAGATTTAAAACTTGGTTTACGGAAAGCTTATACTTCATTAGCTTTATTACAAAAAAATGAGGCCATAAACTATTTTCCGTATTATACTTTCTTCCATCTCGGTCTTGGGGTATAAGACCACAGTTCACCTTTAAGAAAATACTGGATTTTTCTGGAACTATATATTTGTACTTTACAAGTGAAGGATATACACCCCATCAATTTTATAAAATACAAAACTATGTATCATATATTATGTAAACTAATTTTCACAACTCCAGTCTTAGGGTTTTAAGACCACAACCCTCTTTTTATACAAAAAAATATAGGATTTTCTGGGGACACATCCTTTTTTATACAAACAAGGAAAAATAAAGAACATGCATGCAACTATACATATATTTTATAATGAGACTCAAAAACTACTTTTTACAGAAAATATCAGATTTTCTATAGTTTTACAACGTATTATGAACAAAGATATTACAACGTTTTACCTATAAATATGCTTATGAACTCACCAACTTTTTAGTTGATGTTTTTAAAAATGACTTGTATTCTCAGGTATCTAGCAGGCGGGTACTCAACCCTTCTTGAGGGTCGGCGTTGCCATGTTACGTTTTTCTTACCTTTCAGTTATTTGTAATCAACTTTCGAACATTTGTGTTTGTAAACAATGTAATACTCTAAATCTAAATGTGTGAATGTTTGTGTTGCTATGTTTCATTACTATTCAGTTGTTATGATACTGTAGATGAAGTGACTCCATCCGCCCCTAGATGTTTCCGCCGTTCTGGTTTGGGGTGTGACATTCCTAGGGAAGGCTTGGATGGTTTTCCTAGGGATATTCTAGGGTTTCTAGAATATCCCATGTGGATAATTAAAGAGATGGATAATTACCTAATTTGAATTAATAATATTATATTCAAATTAGGGTTATACGTGGCATCCTATCTGTAATATAAATAGACCCTTAGCCTTACAATTTTCCACCACCATAAACCCTAGAAGGATAGCTGAAAATCTCAAGCTCCTTCCTCTTATCTCCTCTCTTTCATCCTCTTGCTTTTTTGGGTGTGATCTACTAGAGGTGTGACACTTGTGATGCTTGCTCTCAAGGTTCAAGAAGACTTGGATTTTCATTGTTATTGCAACATAACAATCAAAGCTATGTTTACTAACCCTAGTTATGATTTTCAAAAATAATATAGATCCCCTAGGGTTTTCCATTTGATGTTCAAAAGTTGTATGTTCAATTAGAGAAAACATAGATCCAAGAATTAGGGTTGCATGCACACATAAGTTTTTGTTTGTTATGCTCAAAACCCATCATCAATAACATTAACCATCATTTTTTATTTTTTGGAACTATTTGGGTTTGAGTTTGATTTTTATTTTGAGTTTGATTTCTAAAACGATTTTGGATTTTAGAACCATGTGGGTTACAAGTTTTCAGATCTTTGATTTTCGATTTTTAAAAACCAAATGTGAACGATGCAAATTGGGGTGATCAGAGAACATGAGCGGAGAAACAAGATGCTGACTTTGAATATAATCTCTCTCTCTCTCTCTCTCTCTCCATTCTTATCACTTAATTTTGGCAATGGATTTAACTTTCAGGCGATTGATTTTAGGAGGATCTAATTTCGTGGTTGTGATTGATTTTCCTAGTTTTGAAAATGATATGATTTAGTTTTTGTTTGAAACCAATATGCTTTGTTTTGATTTTATAATATCGATATGCTTTTAGTTTTTGAAAATCAATAGGTGGTAGCGTAATTAAGAGTTATCGGAGGGGAGAATTGTCGGAGGTGAGAGTTGTCGGAAAAGAAGGGCATACTTGGGAAGAGGGTTGCCGATGACATGTGAGAGATGTAAAGAAACGAACTAAAATACTAATGGGTGATCGCATTTTTTACGTTAAATAATAATAAAATCATTAAACTATTTTTTTTAAATACACAAATGTAATATAATCATTGTATGTCCGAAAAGGGATGAAAAATAAAAGTATTAAAACAAACTTTGAAAAATAGAGTATAAACTTACAACTTAACACTTTGCCAAATTATATTTTACTCTTTTATAAATGTTTAAGCACACCATCACTCTCCTCTTTAAGGTGTTGTTTGTTTATTTTGAAGAAAAAATTCATAAAGTTTGCGGACCACCTCTACAACCCTCTGCAGTAGAAGAGGTGGACCAAACGGCTGCAGACTGTAGTAAGAAACTTGTTTGTTTTTTTTTAACATCTGCATGCTGCTGCAAATATTAAAAAATTAAAATAAACTGATTTTATAATCCGAAAATAGTGTAACGACCTAAATTTTCAAATAAAATTTTCATTTTCAAACACAATAAAACTTGTTTCATAATTCTCAAAATCACATAAGTCTCAAATGTCAACCAATAAAACACAATCCCAAAATCATAAAAGCAATCTTCCGCCAGTGTGTACAATCATGCCGGTGCCTTGCCGCGATCCTAGAAACTACCTGAAACACATAACACATAACACGGTAATCATAAAGCTTAGTGAGTTCCCCAAAATACCACACAACACATTAGCCACTCAAGGCTATATCTCAATAAGACCCTCCGGTCAATGTATCTCAGTGGGACCCTCCGGTCCCACAACTCAGATGGACCTTCCGGTCCCTCAACTCATCAGCTCAATATAATACATAGTAAGCATATCACAAAACAAATAGCAGGATATCTCAGAACATAGCTCATACACATAAGACCATCTGGTCACACACAAAGTTACCACACAAGGTAAGTATATTGAGAAGACTCACCTCATAAGCTAGCAAATGAAACCTCAAACTCGGAAATCTCGAACTCTACCCACTGGTCTAGCCTCCGCCTAACACATAATAATTTTCTCTAATTAATATCGGCTCTCAAGAACTAGACTAACCCTTATATACTCATAGAAGGCTGAAAAGACCATTTTACCATTCCATAGGCTTAATAGTCCATAATTTGACCAAACCCTAAAAGATAACAAAAGTTAACGGCAGGGAGTACGCTACGCGTACTCGATATCTACGCTGCACGTACTGGGCTGCTATGCAGACATCGGGGATGCTCGACCCCTACGTCGCACGTACTGGGATTACGCCCAACGTACGCCCCAGTTTCACACTCCTCTCATTTTTGGTCTTAATCAGTTAAGACACAGGCTCATATCTCATATCTGGACTCCTTAACGTCTCTTAGTCCATAAAGGTAGTGACTTTAAGCCTTTGCAAGGCTGATTAGGTCACAAACACTCAAAATACCCATTCCCTTTCCTTAAGAAGCTCATAACTCATGCATGGCTCACTCTCAACGCCCAATATTGGATTTTTATGACTCTACTACACACAATACACTAAAAAGGGGCAGATCAAGGTCTCTGGAGTTAATTATCTCATAAAGTCTCCAGCTTTTGGGACAAAAACCCTAACATACTCATCAACATGCTCATAACAAAGGAAAGGCAAAGTATGAAGCTTTTTACCTCAATAAGAAGCCTCTCACTTAGATTTGCTATGATCTAGAAGCTTGGGCTCCGACTCCTTCTTCTTCAAGACCTTCTCTTCTCCTCAAAACCACACAAACACTCACAAGGCTCAAACACACACACACACACACACACACACTCAAGCTTAGAACGAGGGTTAAGGCATTCTGAGGGTTTTTCTCTTTGGAATGGTGGCCAGAAATGAGGCCATCATATCCCTTATATAGGGGACTCACCCCAAATTAGGGTTGCACTCTGGGCCTAGTATGCCCAGCGTACTAGGTGGTCTTCGCGTCAAATACACGCTGACGAGTATGCTAAGCGTACACCTCAGGTACACCCCACGTACTTGTTTTTTACTCTTTTTATAATAAGGGCTAAAATAGATAATAACTCAATAGATCAAGGTTCTCGAAGTATACCTGAACTTGGGATGTTAAAATAGTTTTTTAATACTGAAAATTTAATAATGTATGATATTTCGGTAAGAATTTATGATATTTCAGCAAAAAAATAATGATATTTTTACAAAAAATATAGATATTAGCATAAAATAATGATATTTCATTAACAAATTATTATTATTCAATATAAAAAAAAATCAACAAGAATAAACAAAAAAATAAAAAAAAATGAAATAAAATTTCAATAATATATAATCAATATTTTAGCAAGAAAAAAAAAAAAAAAAATAAGGTTGGAAGAGGTAGAAAAACCAAGAAAAACACACAGACAATTTTTTTTTTTTTTTTTTTTCCTGAAGAGTATTGAAAAAGAAACAACTGCACTATAAAAAATGAAAAGTATATATGTTTTACTTCAGGAATGAAAACAAAAGTATATATGTTTTACTTCAGGAGCTTAAATGAATGAAAACTGAAAGGTATATATGTTTATACTCCTGGAGCTTATTTGTTAAGCTCTCTTTTACGAATCGTAATCAATGATATGGCAAATCGTTCATTTGGTGGCTTCCGAAGGCGATGCTTTGCTTCGTTATTCAAATCCACTTTCACCTCTTACACTCTCAGTACCACCAGGTATCCATAATCGCAATTTCTTCAATTGCTCCATTGATAATTCATACTTGTAGTATATCGAATTCAAACCCATATGCCAAATTCATTTTTAACTGAACTTATGCCAGGCTAATTCCATACCAAGAACCCAATTTATCCTCATTCATTTCATCGAACACTTGGTGGGCATTCAGAAACTCGACAATTTGTAGGCACTACGGGTCTTCGTCATCGTCATCGTATCAATCAACAGTGCGTTGCGTTATATCAGAAGGCAAACCCAAATTCGAGGCATATGAAATCGATCCACCTAAGAAATTCAAATGGAAAACGAAGAAAAAACTCAAGTTGCAAAGAAAGAAAGAGAAGCACAAGAGAAACTTAGCAAACAAAAAGGACCCCCGTCGTCTCACCATCAAAGGATCTAAAAAGAAAGCCAGGTTTGCCAATGCTGAGGAACGAATCAAATATAAGCTCGAAAAGGTCAGTATCATAATCATACAAAACATCTTATGTTTCAATTCAATCAATCTCCAAATCTCTTCTGTTGTATTGTTAAGTGAGAATGCAACACACATTCAGGCAAAAATCAAAGAATCCTTGCTGATTGAAAGGCTGAAGAGGTATGAAGTTTCAAAACTTCAAGGACCAATGGTGAAACCCGTTGACATGACAGGTGAAGAACGATTCTACATGAAGAAGATGGCTCAAAAAGGATCCAATTACGTTCCAGTTGGTAGAAGAGGCGTGTTTGGAGGTGTCATCCTGAATATGCATATGCATTGGAAAAAACATGAAACTGTAAAGGTCATCTGCAAGCCCTGTAAACCAGGTCAAATCCAAGATTATGCTAATGAAATTGCAAGATTAAGTGGTGGAATCCCAATTCAGGTGATCGGAGATGACACCATAATCTTTTATCGTGGGAAGGATTATGTGATGCCAGAGGTTATGAGTCCAATCGACACATTATCCAAGAAAAAAGTAAGTATACACCAATTATCCTATCTTCATTTTGCATGATTTGTTGTTCTTATTTGTGATTTGATACAATTCAGGCACTTGAAAAGTCAAAGTATGAGCAATCCCTGGAGTCTGTAAGACACTTTATTGCTGTTTCTGAGAAGGAACTTGAGTTATATCATAGACACATTGCACTTTATGGCGACTCTTCTGCTGATCATAAGTGCAACACTGTTATTGGGTCCCACCAAGTTCTTGAGGAGAATGTTGATGGTTTATCAAACCAAGAATTATCAGCAGGTGAAGTTGATGATCATGATGATGATGATGATGTTGATGATGATGATGATCTGTCTTTAAGTGATACGAGTTGTACAGATGAGTCTACTAGTGAATTGGATTCTTGTGATGAAGAAACATAGACTATAATACTTAAAAAGTTTTTTATGGCTATTTCTGATGATGAAGATGAAGAGGGTATTCATGTCTTTTGCACATAAGAAACCTTTTTGGGTTGTCCCATTGACATCGGTCCAAGTCCAGTATACTCCAAACACAGTACAAACTGTCTTATCATGTCATGTCACCCACAACAAATGGAGCCTTAGGGTTGAATTGATGCCAAAATGGTATTATTGTCCACAATTTTCATCATAAATGTTAGTGGATCATTATCCTGATTTAGGTCAAGATCATAGATTTAGGATCTAGTCTTGATTAATGGATCAAACGAGATGGAATCATTTCTTGATTTGGTTTAAGTGATAAATCCACGTATTACAATGGTAATCCGTTTTAATACATAAAAATTACCAATTTATGCAATAAAAATGGATCTCTTACCACTTTAAAAAGCCATGTTTCAATTTGCTATCAAATTATGCATTATTTTACTAATGAAAGGATGTTTTATTTTGCTTATTTTACCCATTCACTTGCTTAAATTGATAAAAAGATTAAAAGATTGAAGCATGGTTGGATAAGTTGGTAAGAAATCTGTTTACAAGAAGTTATTGTATAAATAAATGATTGGGCCAATTGGCCCAGGTAACATCTAGTTTCCTTTTTGTTTATCATTTTGTCGTTATTCTTAGTATGGGGTTATATAAGTCAAACAACACATGTCGATTCTTATCGTTATTGAAATGGATGTAGAAAGGAAATTTTTGAAAATGACTATTGAGTAAATTGTTGAAACGTCTATGTGAAAAAGATAGGTTTTGTTTGTGTTTGTAAGCAAAAGAAGAGAAGCATTAGTTGTATCCTTTTCAATCATCCAAGTGGCATTACTGATGCCTCAAACGTTACTCATATGTGGACAACTTTTCTCAATTCCTAACGTATCAAAAATGATCACTTGGGCTAACCTACGTTGCTCCTCAAGCTCAAAGACATTGATACCATAGGAAACATCTAAAACAAAAACATTGATTACTATACTTGGATCGTTGATTCTTTTCACTAATAATAACCATAATCCTGAGAGAGGGTTTAAGAGTTACTTTTTACAATTATCATGAAGCTCAAGGACCCAAACTAGTTGAGTCTCTCTGATAATATCGCACCCCTTGACTGCCCAAGCAAACAAGAAACCTTAATTCTAAAGGCTTCAGAATTTCAACTGAAAAAGTCGAAAAGTTGTCGACCATAAGAGAGGATGGGAGGAGGATTAACGAAATTTCTAAGGGTTTTTGGAGCATCGAATCCCTTCAATCTCATCATTTTATATAGATGTAAGAAATCTTATCTTTTTCTTATCTGAATTCAAGGATAATATTAGTTTATTCGTTAATAATTATGCCTATAAAATGACTCATTAGTTATTCCTAATACTAATATAATTATTTTAGACATAATTAATGAATCCCATCTAATTATATGTTAAATCTTAATAAATATTTTTTCCATTAACTTTTAATTATTTATTAACACTTTACTAATAAATAATAAATTAATCATATTAGTTTCTAATTACTTATTGACACTTAATAAATAATAAATTAATTTTTTTTCTCATTTGTTTATTCTTGTTTTTCATCTTGGGTCAAGTGTGTAACTCATATATGCCTATGTAAATCAATTTGTGTTACCATGTTGTGTAGTAGACATATCTACAATAGACTTCGACTTGCACATGTCACAACGTCTCTATGGTCAAACTCATAACTTTACACATGTTATGTCTTCTTGACAACTACTTAGATCTTATAAACCCTTAGGTTTGATCCGGTCCCAAATAAGTGATCATATATTTCTTGTTCTCGATATTTAGTATGAATCGTTAGACATAAAATTCTCGTTTAGCTCTTACTTTTTAAAAAAAATGTATATCTCAATATAGATTCGTTGTGACTCTAAAGAAACTACATGATTGACTATCAATTATGTCCGAGTGTAGCTACACACTTAGTGTAAGCATGCAATCAATGAGGCCTAAAAGATATCTCTTTTACCGGGGTTAGAAGGAACAAATCAACTATGACTACACTTACTCTTACTCAATTATATTATACTTAGGTGTTTTATAGTTGCTTTTTACAAACAACGTTGGAATTAGGGGTGTTCATAACCGGATATCCGAAAATTCGGATATCCGAAATTTTGAATAGTTAATTTTTGGTATCCGATTCCGTATCTGAAATTTCAGATATAATAGCCAAGCTACCCTCATTAAGTAAGACTGTTGGTCATGCTAAAGAGAAGCTTAAGCTACCTAAACAAAGATAGGGGAGCGCGACACGACTATTTTATTATTTTCGGATGCAACCGGAACAAGATTTTTTGATTCTCTACGGGCAACCAAGCCCGAGTGAGCTTTTTTTTATGCTATCCTAAGAGACTGATATGGACTTCTTGGGATCCGCAGATTCTTCATTGGATAGTCTATCAAGTACTGAGTCAGAGGCGCAATGCGCTCCACCATTTCCGGAAATCCTGGAAAGCATAAGTCATACATTAAACCAATTACTAAATGAAACTGAAAGGCAGTTACCTCCCGAATGGTCCATGGCGGACCTTGTTCGAGCACATCCGAAAATTTGAAATTTTGTTGAAATTTGAAAGGCATATGAAGTTTTTAAATTAGAAAGACATATTTTTAAATTAGAAAGACATCTTAAGTAATATAAGTATTTAATTAAGGGTATTATAAATATGTTTTAGTTACTAACATTCATATTATAAGATATATGTGATCAAAATAACAAATAATGTATACATTAAAATCAAAATTTTTGGATGTCGGATATCCGAATTATCCGAAAAAACTTAAAAACACTATCCAATTCCGATTCCGAAAAAATGGATATCCGAAATTTCGGATATCCAAAAATTCGGATATCCGATTTTTCGGATAATTCAGATTCGGAATTTTGAATACGGATATTTTTGAACACCCTTAGTTGGAATAGCATTTTTGGAGGATTTGACCATATAAGACTCATAAGCATGTCATTCAATCTCATAAAAGGCACATTTATGTTCATCGTGCTGAAGTTCGAGATGAAATCACCATATGAAACACTCGTTGAGATGAGGGTACAATCTATGGCTAACTCCTAGCCTAAGGGAAATCATATACTCCTTAAGTTGTCAATATACGCTTTTATTCTCAGGACATACATAAATTCTACTTTTTTCTGACTACGTCTCCTTAAGGTTTTCATAGTCTCAAATTGCCTCCACCTAACATGCCCTTGGAGCATGTCCTTAAGATGGTTTATTGTGTCATGTGCATCAAGATGTTCTAGGAAACATCGTGACTAATATGAGGTAAGCCATTTCTTTTGAGTTGTTGAGAGATATTTTATGCTTGTCTTAAACAACCTTATGAGATAACGATGTAGGGATCCTTAAGAACATATTTATGAATAAGATGAAGCTCCCTTTCGAACTTGAGCATACGTCTCAAGTCCTGAAACCATCAAACATGGTTTCAGGACCAACTTTACAACCTTCTTCTCAACTAATAACTTGAGTTCCTCTTTGACTTTGACTCAACCTTTCATCTTCACTTTTCTTCCTCTTTTTCTTAGGTATACATATTTTCTTGTGATGTGGGGAAGGAATAAGTTTGGTTGGACATAAACTTTTAGGCCATATTATTCTTCCTTTTATGAGCTCCACTTTATATGAATATGCATTCTTCCATGTGTCCAATTAGTGAACCTTAAATGTCCCAACATCCTATGGGTTTTTGGTCATTTCATAAAGGGTTGCAATGTCATGTTTACAAGGGATTCATATTTTACTCTTACCTTGAACTCTGGTGAAACTTGTTTAAGGATACTATAAAGTATCAAGTAACATATATTCTCCCAACTGTTTTTGATCATCGGGTTCCTTTGTTATTGGGGTTTTATCCTTTGATGGTAATTAAAATATGTTTTTTCTGTTTTGGAAGATCGTCATCATAGAGCTCCTTAATTATAACTTGGCTTCCCTTTAGAAGACATGAAATGGGTCAACAAATTAGTTTTACCATGTGCAGTATACACTTCAATGACCTTGTTATCTCCAATATATTTAGCTAAATTCAAGACATCATTGTCATTCCCTAAAGCTCTAAGACCAAAGTACTTGTCTTCATGGGGAATCCTAAAATTGTAATATCTCATATGGCACAAAATAGCCTAGATCTAGCATCATTATGTCTAGTTCATGGATTTATTGAATCGATATATCACACTTTACCTTCAACATATTTGTTGCTTGGTAAACTCGCCACCATGGTGTAGCTCTATGATAAACATTGTTGGTGCATGCTCTACAAAAATACAAAAAAAACATAAAGTAAAAAAGTCTCACATGTATGCATTTTAACTCTAGTATTCATATCATCAAGAAACGAAAGAAATTTTTAGAAGCAGAGGATTATAAGAACTAACCGTGATTCTATGAGGTATAGTATGTTTGTATTTTGGCCTTATTGCCCATATTACGAATACCATTTTCAACTAAAATGCAAAATAATAAAGCATATTGGACCAAATCTCTTCGATTACGGTTTTTACGCTGCGTATCAATGATGAAAAAGAGAGAAGTGTAAGAAGCAAGTGAGATTTTGATGGAATTATGGTGCTAATACGGTTACAGTTGTTGCTCATGTAAAAAGACATTTTTGCCCTCGTGTGTGATGAACACGAGGGGTGTAACAACCACAAAGTAACAATGGTTAACTCCAGAGACTTATTCCACAATAAAACTTCTCAAAAAGAACCAAATCCACGACTTTTTAAAGGTTTGGACCTTAACCACATAAAATGAAAAACCACAATAACCATTTTTATAATTTTATCTATAGAAAAAATCAAAATGAAATTAAATAAAGGCAAGTTAACCATTTCAATTTAAAGAGAAGCCAAAAATACAGTAAACCTTTAAAAAAAATTTGTATTTTAAAATCATATAAACAAAAAAAGGACAAAATTTGAAGTTTTCTCTTTCTTTTAAGGGAAAATGACTCAGGAGGGTACCCAACTGTTGATTTTGTTCATATTTAGTCCATTTCCTTCTTTTTTGTACGCAATATATGTAACGACCCAAAAATCGCAACCAAAAATTTCCTTTAAAAACATTACTAAAACCATATTTATAAACCATAACATAAGTCATAACATAAATTCGGAGTATCAATTCAAATCATGTTCTTATTATTAGAGTAAACACCCCAGGCTGACTAACTATGGTGTGTGCCATGCGATCACCCTGAGCTCCTCCTCCGCCACCAGAAGTACCTGAAACCAAAACTGCAGTTGTAAGCACGAAGCTTAGTGAGTTTCC